GGACACACATGCTCTCATCCCACACAAGCATCGTGGACACACATGCTCTCATCCCACACAAGCATCGTGGACACACATGCTCTCATCCCACACAAGCATCGTGGACACACATGCTCTCATCCCACACAAGCATCGTGGACACACATGCTCTCATCCCACACAAGCATCGTGGACACACATGCTCTCATCCCACACAAGCATCGTGGACACACATGCTCTCATCCCACACAAGCATCGTGGACACACATGCTCTCATCCCACACAAGCATCGTGGACACACATGCTCTCATCCCACACAAGCATCGTGGACACACATGCTCTCATCCCACACAAGCATCGTGGACACACATGCTCTCATCCCACACAAGCATCGTGGACACACATGCTCTCATCCCACACAAGCATCGTGGACACACATGCTCTCATCCCACACAAGCATCGTGGACACACATGCTCTCATCCCACACAAGCATCGTGGACACACATGCTCTCATCCCACACAAGCATCGTGGACACACATGCTCTCATCCCACACAAGCATCGTGGACACACATGCTCTCATCCCACACAAGCATCGTGGACACACATGCTCTCATCCCACACAAGCATCGTGGACACACATGCTCTCATCCCACACAAGCATCGTGGACACACATGCTCTCATCCCACACAAGCATCGTGGACACACATGCTCTCATCCCACACAAGCATCGTGGACACACATGCTCTCATCCCACACAAGCATCGTGGACACACATGCTCTCATCCCACACAAGCATCGTGGACACACATGCTCTCATCCCACACAAGCATCGTGGACACACATGCTCTCATCCCACACAAGCATCGTGGACACACATGCTCTCATCCCACACAAGCATCGTGGACACACATGCTCTCATCCCACACAAGCATCGTGGACACACATGCTCTCATCCCACACAAGCATCGTGGACACACATGCTCTCATCCCACACAAGCATCGTGGACACACATGCTCTCATCCCACACAAGCATCGTGGACACACATGCTCTCATCCCACACAAGCATCGTGGACACACATGCTCTCATCCCACACAAGCATCGTGGACACACATGCTCTCATCCCACACAAGCATCGTGGACACACATGCTCTCATCCCACACAAGCATCGTGGACACACATGCTCTCATCCCACACAAGCATCGTGGACACACATGCTCTCATCCCACACAAGCATCGTGGACACACATGCTCTCATCCCACACAAGCATCGTGGACACACATGCTCTCATCCCACACAAGCATCGTGGACACACATGCTCTCATCCCACACAAGCATCGTGGACACACATGCTCTCATCCCACACAAGCATCGTGGACACACATGCTCTCATCCCACACAAGCATCGTGGACACACATGCTCTCATCCCACACAAGCATCGTGGACACACATGCTCTCATCCCACACAAGCATCGTGGACACACATGCTCTCATCCCACACAAGCATCGTGGACACACATGCTCTCATCCCACACAAGCATCGTGGACACACATGCTCTCATCCCACACAAGCATCGTGGACACACATGCTCTCATCCCACACAAGCATCGTGGACACACATGCTCTCATCCCACACAAGCATCGTGGACACACATGCTCTCATCCCACACAAGCATCGTGGACACACATGCTCTCATCCCACACAAGCATCGTGGACACACATGCTCTCATCCCACACAAGCATCGTGGACACACATGCTCTCATCCCACACAAGCATCGTGGACACACATGCTCTCATCCCACACAAGCATCGTGGACACACATGCTCTCATCCCACACAAGCATCGTGGACACACATGCTCTCATCCCACACAAGCATCGTGGACACACATGCTCTCATCCCACACAAGCATCGTGGACACACATGCTCTCATCCCACACAAGCATCGTGGACACACATGCTCTCATCCCACACAAGCATCGTGGACACACATGCTCTCATCCCACACAAGCATCGTGGACACACATGCTCTCATCCCACACAAGCATCGTGGACACACATGCTCTCATCCCACACAAGCATCGTGGACACACATGCTCTCATCCCACACAAGCATCGTGGACACACATGCTCTCATCCCACACAAGCATCGTGGACACACATGCTCTCATCCCACACAAGCATCGTGGACACACATGCTCTCATCCCACACAAGCATCGTGGACACACATGCTCTCATCCCACACAAGCATCGTGGACACACATGCTCTCATCCCACACAAGCATCGTGGACACACATGCTCTCATCCCACACAAGCATCGTGGACACACATGCTCTCATCCCACACAAGCATCGTGGACACACATGCTCTCATCCCACACAAGCATCGTGGACACACATGCTCTCATCCCACACAAGCATCGTGGACACACATGCTCTCATCCCACACAAGCATCGTGGACACACATGCTCTCATCCCACACAAGCATCGTGGACACACATGCTCTCATCCCACACAAGCATCGTGGACACACATGCTCTCATCCCACACAAGCATCGTGGACACACATGCTCTCATCCCACACAAGCATCGTGGACACACATGCTCTCATCCCACACAAGCATCGTGGACACACATGCTCTCATCCCACACAAGCATCGTGGACACACATGCTCTCATCCCACACAAGCATCGTGGACACACATGCTCTCATCCCACACAAGCATCGTGGACACACATGCTCTCATCCCACACAAGCATCGTGGACACACATGCTCTCATCCCACACAAGCATCGTGGACACACATGCTCTCATCCCACACAAGCATCGTGGACACACATGCTCTCATCCCACACAAGCATCGTGGACACACATGCTCTCATCCCACACAAGCATCGTGGACACACATGCTCTCATCCCACACAAGCATCGTGGACACACATGCTCTCATCCCACACAAGCATCGTGGACACACATGCTCTCATCCCACACAAGCATCGTGGACACACATGCTCTCATCCCACACAAGCATCGTGGACACACATGCTCTCATCCCACACAAGCATCGTGGACACACATGCTCTCATCCCACACAAGCATCGTGGACACACATGCTCTCATCCCACACAAGCATCGTGGACACACATGCTCTCATCCCACACAAGCATCGTGGACACACATGCTCTCATCCCACACAAGCATCGTGGACACACATGCTCTCATCCCACACAAGCATCGTGGACACACATGCTCTCATCCCACACAAGCATCGTGGACACACATGCTCTCATCCCACACAAGCATCGTGGACACACATGCTCTCATCCCACACAAGCATCGTGGACACACATGCTCTCATCCCACACAAGCATCGTGGACACACATGCTCTCATCCCACACAAGCATCGTGGACACACATGCTCTCATCCCACACAAGCATCGTGGACACACATGCTCTCATCCCACACAAGCATCGTGGACACACATGCTCTCATCCCACACAAGCATCGTGGACACACATGCTCTCATCCCACACAAGCATCGTGGACACACATGCTCTCATCCCACACAAGCATCGTGGACACACATGCTCTCATCCCACACAAGCATCGTGGACACACATGCTCTCATCCCACACAAGCATCGTGGACACACATGCTCTCATCCCACACAAGCATCGTGGACACACATGCTCTCATCCCACACAAGCATCGTGGACACACATGCTCTCATGCCACACAAGCATCGTGGACACACATGCTCTCATGCCACACAAGCATCGTGGACACACATGCTCTCATGCCACACAAGCATCGTGGACACACATGCTCTCATGCCACACAAGCATCGTGGACACACATGCTCTCATGCCACACAAGCATCGTGGACACACATGCTCTCATGCCACACAAGCATCGTGGACACACATGCTCTCATGCCACACAAGCATCGTGGACACACATGCTCTCATGCCACACAAGCATCGTGGACACACATGCTCTCATCCCACACAAGCATCGTGGACACACATGCTCTCATCCCACACAAGCATCGTGGACACACATGCTCTCATGCCACACAAGCATCGTGGACACACATGCTCTCATGCCACACAAGCATCGTGGACACACATGCTCTCATGCCACACAAGCATCGTGGACACACATGCTCTCATGCCACACAAGCATCGTGGACACACATGCTCTCATGCCACACAAGCATCGTGGACACACATGCTCTCATGCCACACAAGCATCGTGGACACACATGCTCTCATGCCACACAAGCATCGTGGACACACATGCTCTCATGCCACACAAGCATCGTGGACACACATGCTCTCATGCCACACAAGCATCGTGGACACACATGCTCTCATGCCACACAAGCATCGTGGACACACATGCTCTCATGCCACACAAGCATCGTGGACACACATGCTCTCATGCCACACAAGCATCGTGGACACACATGCTCTCATGCCACACAAGCATCGTGGACACACATGCTCTCATGCCACACAAGCATCGTGGACACACATGCTCTCATGCCACACAAGCATCGTGGACACACATGCTCTCATGCCACACAAGCATCGTGGACACACATGCTCTCATGCCACACAAGCATCGTGGACACACATGCTCTCATGCCACACAAGCATCGTGGACACACATGCTCTCATGCCACACAAGCATCGTGGACACACATGCTCTCATGCCACACAAGCATCGTGGACACACATGCTCTCATGCCACACAAGCATCGTGGACACACATGCTCTCATGCCACACAAGCATCGTGGACACACATGCTCTCATGCTCGCTCTCCAGGTGATGGGACGACTTGTGACGCGCAACCGACTCTTCTCATAAGAAAATGATAGATTATCGTCCCCACCTGTCGTGCATTCTCACTTCCAACGTCCCTCACACTTATTCCCCTCCCTCTCCCCTTTTTCTCTCCGCCTCTCCATGTGTTTCTTTCTCTGCGGCACCAACAGAGCAGGCAGAGGCAGAAGCAGCAGGTGCCGTATTCGCTTTCAACTCAGCCGCAGTGGGCATTCAGGCCAACCCAGCTGACCGCTTCCCACTCCTCACCACCATCCGAACATCCTCGCCTACCAGCAGCAGAAGCACTGCCACTACTACCACCATCACCAGCAGCAGCAGCAGCAGCAGCAGCAGCAGCAGCACCAGAACCACGTTGCTGTGCTCGCGCTATTTAGTGAACGCAGCTGGGCTCGAGGCTGTTCCTCTCGCTCATCGCACCCACCTCACAGAGGCTCCCATCAAACCGCAACTGCCACCCCTCCGCCTCCCTCCTCTCTACCTCGCTCGCGGGCATTACTTCGCCCATTCTGGCCCACCGCCCTTCTCCCGCCTCGTGTATCCGCTGCCGGAGCCGGGGGGCCTGGGCGTGCATGCCACGGTGGACCTCGCCGGTCGAGTGCGGTTCGGCCCCGACGTGCAGTGGTTGCACGCGGTGCCACTCTCTGCTGCCCACGGCATGCCCGTCAGGTGTGCTTCTAGTTCAAGACACTCATCACCTGAGTCGGCTTATATTATACACTGGTATTATCGGGCCAGTCTTTAGCGGACTCAAAAGCCAAGGGGCCTGCTTGGGCGTGCATGCCATGGTGGGCCTGGCCAGTTGAGTGCGGTTCGGCCTCGTCGTGCAGTGGTTGCGCGTGGTGCCGTTCTCTGCCTCTCACGCCACAGCCTTTTACTTGTGATTTGCAAGTTCTGCCCTTCACTGGAAGGGGGGTGTCTGCACACTGTCTGCACACTGACTATCCACCTCGCATCTGCCCCAAACTCTCCACCCCTCACCCCAACTCGCACGGCAGCTACGACTCCTCACTGGACCCTGCACGGGCCGAATCATTCTACACGGCGATCCGCAGGTACTGCCCGACACTGCTATATAACACTCTGCATGCCTCCTCACCCCTTACCACCCCCCCCCAACCCCCCTCAACTTCTCCCCAATCCTCCCCACGGCAGCTACAACTACTCAGTGGACCCTGCAAGGGCCGAGTCCTACTACTCCGCGATCCGCAAATACTTCCAACGTGGAGGGCGGCTCTCTGCATGCCTCCTCACCCCTCACCACTCCCCCCAACCCCCCTCAACTCCTCCCCACGGCAGCTACAACTACTCAGTGGGCCCTGCAAGGGCCGAATCATTCTACTCCCCGATCCACAAGTACTTCCCTTCACTGGAGGCTGCCTCTCTGCATTCCTCTTCACCCCTCACCACTCCTCCCAACCCCCTTCAATTACTCCCATCCGCAGCTACGACTACTCAGTGGACCCTGCAAGGGCCGAAGCATTCTATTCGGCGATCCGCAAGTATTTTCCGACACTACAGGGCGGCTCTCTGCATGCCGATTATGCCGGCATTCGCCCCAAACTCACTGCTCCAGGCGACCCTGCTGCTGACTTCTTGATTCAGGTGAGAAGGGCGGTGAGATGTGTGGTGGAGTGGGCGATGTGTCAACGTTATTCTCTCTTCGCTTGTCATTCATTCTGGATTTGAATACTAACTACTCGGAATGCGCCAGCACCCGTGATTCAACCTGTACCCTCCTATTGCGAGTGTGCCTGCCAAGAGTAACAGAACAGACCCATGCTTATCCTATTGCGAGTGTGCCTGCCTTATCCTCCTCGCTTGTAATTTCCCAATGCTGTCAACATTCTGACTCTCCTTATCCATGTCATTTGCCTTGTACCCATGTCAATCATGCCAACAGACTCATGCTACACATGGCATGCCAGGCCTCATCCACCTTCTCGGCATAGAGTCTCCAGGACTCACCTCGTGTCTTGCCATTGCCAAGTATGTGAGGAGCCTGCTGTAGGGTGTGCATGCCCGTCGTATGTTAGATGCTGCTATACAGTCCCCCGGACCGGACTCACTTCGCGTCTTGCCATTGCTGTACCGTATGTGAAGACCAACCTGTTGTAGCCTGGTGCCTCTTCCATATTTCCTGCTCTTGACCTCTCTGACTCTGCCATGATAACATGCTTTTGAGCACACATGAGCAGCACAGCATGTCATGCCGGGCCTCATCCACCTTCTTGGCATGGAGTCTCCAGGGCTCGCTTCGTGTATTGTTATTGCCGAGCATGTGAAGAGCCTACCAGTACTTCGACATTCCCGCCACATGCCGCTCTGAAGTCTAGTTGATCAATGCGCTAGTTGCTGGTTGTGATGTGAGCCACTGTGTCGTTTTGTCATTCGGTTGATTCCCACGAGCCATTGGATCAGGACGCGGCTAAGTGCTAGATCGGAGGAACATCGATCCTCACGGCCTCACAACCGCGCTAGAAAACGATCCTGAGGCAATCGAGCCTTCACCTTTACCGAGTCCTCAGGTGTTTGTCTTTCGTACCGTATGTTCTTTCTCGTGAAACTTTACATGGCAGAGCTGTCAGTAGGCCCATGTTAAAATTGTTCTCATAACCGGAAATTGATACACTTCACACACAGCCTTACTAGAACTAGAAGGGTGGAAAAGCATTTGGCCAGAAACGGACTGTGGGAGGATGAAACGTGTGGATAATGTGGATGGGAAACAATAAATGAGCAGTGGCGATGGTACATCCATAAAGAGTATATACATGGATGGATTGTGCACGTACGTACCAGATTCAGGCATATGCATCAGAATATGTACAAACTCACGTGTATAATTCACATCACATACGGTGGTCAAACATATGGTACACATAGTAAACACAACAGACAAAGATAAACACAGAACAAAGGTATGGTAACACACATCAGACGAATGCACAGTACACACACAAAGAGAAGGCACACACACGAAGACACAATGTACTCCAATGACAACAATGACAACCACATGCTGTACATACTCCATCCATACCCATAAATGAGGATGCTTATGCATGGAAAGCTACAAGGATGACACCCAAGGGTGCAGCGGGGATAGGCAGTTTGAGAAGTAAAATCAACCAATAAGGGAATGGGGAAGAGAGGGAGACATGGTGGGGAGAAGGAACGGGGAGGGAGACATGGTGGGCAGAAGGAACGGGGAGGGAGACATGGTGGGGAGGGAAAGAAGCACAAAAGGCGAGGAACGGGGATGGAAGATAGGCGGAAGGGAAGAGAGGAAAGGGAGGAGGGCTCAAGGAGGGAGAATGGGGGAGGAGGGAGGAGGAAGGCGGGCTAAAGGAAAAGGCGGTCACGAAACGAGTGGGCTCCCAACGACAATCCCAAGGTGCAAGGTCGGTCATCACAGGGGAAAGGGAGAGAAGGAAAAGGATAAGAGGAAGGGAAAGAAGTGGAAGGGGGATGAGGGAGTGTGGATAGAACAAAGGTGGGTAAACCCCCTAAATTCCATCCACTCCCTCATCCCCCCACCACCCCATTCCCCTTCTCTTCCCTCCTCACTCTCTCCCTTGAACCCTTGGATGCGCCAAACCCCTGTACCCGTTATTGCCTTGGTGGTGTGCACTAAAGCGATTTGCTTTAGTAACTCAAACAGCCGCGCATGGCTTGCCCTACAGAGAAGGGTTACCAGCTTGGCTGCCAATGAGAACACGGGTTGCGCCCAACGTTCGTGCATTACCAGAGAAGGGCCAAAATCGGCCAGACAAGGACAACAATAGCCACATCAACACAAAACGGGCAGCAGACGCCGATCAAGAAACGTGAAACTAGGAAGCAATTAAGAGGCGATCAATGCGCTTAGTAGATACGGAGGGGCTTGCCCATCGTGCTCTTGATGTACAGCGACTTGACCTGTGGGAGCGCGCAAGGGAAGAAGAGATGGAGAAAGACGGAGGGGGGTAAAGGAGTGAGACGGGGAGGAGACAACCCAAAAAAGTGGACACTGAGAGCGCCAGAGTCAGGAAAAAGCCAAAAAGGTTTAGCCGAAAGATACATACGTTCTGCCAGTTCTTGAGAAGCGAGACGAGGAAATTGACGGAGAGCTGCACGTTCTGTAAAATCTCAACAACACTACACCTTGTAACGAACCCACGGGGCACAGAGCTACTATCGCGTACGTACGTTCTGCCAGTTCTTCTTGAGCAGCGAGACGAGGAAGTTGACGGAGAGCTGCACGTTCTGGAAGATCTGCTTCTCCTCCATGTCGCAGTTGCCCACCGCGATGCCCATGCACAGCACCTTCTTCAGCTGGAACTTGATCGTCGACTTCGCCTCCAGCAACTGGTGCGAGAGGGGAGGACAATGGAGGGAACAAGGGGGAAAGAAACGGAAGGCAACGGGGGAGAGGGGAAGAGGGGTGCGATGAGCCAACCGCAATGCCCATGCACAGCACCTTCTTCAGCTGGAACTTCATCGTCGACTTTCGCCTCCAAAAGCTGTTGGTGAGGACGGGAGGGAGGAGAAGCGCAGGGGAGAAGGGGAGAGGATGCCATGAGTGCAACGCAATGCCCATGCACAGCACCTTCTTCAGCTGAAACTTGATCGTCGACTTCGCCTCCAGCAGCTGTTGGTGAGGACGGGAGGGAGGGAACCAGAAGGTGCCCTTGAGATTATGGCCTTAACGCCAGGAACACATGGTACCCTTAACTCTTAACGAGTTCTGGACCCTAGCCTTGTATCGCGTACGAAACCCTCACCTTGCTCTCGAGAGGCTCGTGGTGAGTGCAGAGCGTGGGGAACTTGCCGGCCTTGTTCAGCCCGGGGCCGAGCAGCCTGGGGATCTGCTTGATGATGGCCTCCGACGCCAGGAACGCGTGGTACTTCTTGGCGAGCTTCTTGACGAGCTTCTTGTTCTTGTTCATCTTCTTCAGCGCCTCCACGCCCATGCAGTCTAGACTGATCTTCTCCGCCTGTTGGGAGGGAAATTGGATAAGGAAAAGAGGGTTACTTCGCCAGCCCTCTTCGCCTTTCGCCAGCGCTTCTTGACGAGCTTCTTGTTCTTGTTCATCTTCTTCAGTGCCTCCTCGCCCATGCAGTCCAAGCTGATCTTCTCCGCCTGTTATAAGGAAAGCGGAACGCGTGAGAGAGGAAGCATTAAGGGCCTCAACGCTGTCAAATTCGTCGCCAGCTTGCCCAAACGCAAGCATCGCAGCTGTAAAGGACCCATTCCTTCAATGCGCTGCGACACGCGGTTCGAGAGGACAGAATTCTCACAGCATGCACAAGAAGCACTTGAATGACCTATATGTGATCTTCCAAACGTCAAGCCACACCCCACCTCCTCGACGTGCTGGCTATCTCCAGCATGGACACGCGGTACTTTGAAGCGACCCGTTACTAAACTATGTTTCATAGCACACTCCGACGGCTGGACAAATCTACCTCAACACGTGCTGCGTATCTCCGAGCATGCACACCCGGTGCTCGGATCGACCTCTTACGTATTCAAACAACGCACCTCCTCGACATGCTGGGCATCTCCGAGCATGCACACGCGGTACTTGGGGCGCGGCACGTGCGGCAGCTTGACGGAGCCGCTGAAACGCTTGTCCTTCTGGGGGTCGTAGTTCTTAAGCCCGATCTGCAGCTCGATCGTCTCCGAGAACTTGCGGTTCTTCTCCTTCGAAGCCGTCAGCAGGTTCGTAATCGCCTCGCGCAGCACATCGCTCTGCAGCTTACTGCGGCGCGCAGGGGGGGGGACGAGGGTGATACAAACGGCACAGTGTGAGAACAGAGAGTGATTAGCCCGTGGTTCGAAATCGCCTCGCGCAGCACGTAGCTCTGCAGCTTACTTTTGCGCGCAGGAGGGTGATGATGATACAAAGAGCACAGTGCAACAAAAAGTGATACGCTCGTTGGCGGTTCGGATGAAACTATTTAAAATGTAAATTAGGGAGGCAAACTATTCGACCCAGGGACTACCACCATCATATTTCTTGGTGAATGACTCGCAGGCAACGAATGCTGAATGCTATTTGCTCGTAGATATTACTGACCTCATGGTGGCCCGCTACAAGGGACGAAGTGGTGCAAGAGAGGTAGCTTCCAGAGGGGAGAAAGGAACATCGTGAAGTAAGGTGACGACTGAAATAGGAGAGGGAGTGGAAACGGACGGAGGTGTCACTGAAGGGACGGACAGGAGGAGATTCGACAGTTTTGGAAGGATGTGTAATTGAGTTCGACTAATAGACTTGTTACCTGATCATGCTCCAAACGAAGTTGCTATTATCAAGAATGTATGTTTCAGGGCTTCGTTTTTCAGCATTGAAGCTTGCTTCAAGTGCGTGCAGAGTGGGATGGAGTTTCCGATTGATATATGACACGTAAAGATGGTTCGTTTGTCTGAAATCGTTATAGAGGCTGACTAAAAACAGTCGATTTTCCGTGGCACTACTGGAGGCTCGGAACGTAACATGGTGCCGCATGACCGCACTTTACAGAGGGTCTTAGGTTGTTGACGTTTGATCCCGGGCAAACCGACAGCCCTGGGCCGGACATCGCGCATTTTCCCCTGATGAGGACACCGTACCTGTCGGCGCGAAACAAATCCCACAGCCCGCGAGTGGGGTGCGTGCAACCAACCAGGGCAAGAGCCCACTGTCGAGCCGCGCTAGACCGCTTACCAGATCTGTGCCGTTGATGGTTTCTTTCCCCAACCATCGCGTAAACGGACGGTTATCAGAAGGGCCACCTGACCGACCACCTGTCCCACAGCCCCACCACTTCCAGCGAATCGCCAGCCATTCCATCCCACGTCGGTGCTGCTGAAGCGGCCGAGCGGGAGCTCCCCTTGCCCAACGTGCCTGCCTTGCCACACTGCCCGTCCGCTGCACACAACGTGATGTGATAAGTTCGGTGACAATAATTCAATCCCCCAGATACATCTGCTACCCAATCAAAACCTTCTCAAAACTAGCCGAACCGATTAAAACAAAAGCATTGCTCTGGCTTTGCGTGACATCGATCACACCTCAATATAAAGTGTCTCGCCGTAGCTCTATTCAGTTTGCAGTGTCATCACTCAAAGGCTCTCCATAACGCTCTCAGCTATCATCGTTCCTCATTCCACCATTTTCTATCATTCCTTCATCTCCTCCTGTTTGCTGTTGCTTCGACTCAACGCGCCTTCCTTGCCTCCCTCGCCACATTTCAAGATGGCGATCCGATCTGTTCGACTTCTACTGCTAACCGTCGCGCTAGTCTCGCTAGCGTCAACGGCGGCGGCGGCGTACAACGCGGTGGCGGGCTTGAAAGCGATTGAAACCGCGCTGAAGAATAAAAACTACCAGTCCGCCCGTCACGCTCATGAAGACTAGCCGTAAGTGACACGTCAAGTCGAACGCAAGACCTGCACTCGCTGTGTATCCTGTAAGGCGTTTTGAACAGCAGAAACGCAGTGAGCGTCACGACAGGTCGAGAGCGACACCAGCACAGGTCGACAAGTCGACAGGCCGGTGTTTCACTCGACTCGGCAAGAGGTCGTTTCGAGTGGAGCTGCTCTTAAGCTGCCGGTTCTTAATAGTTTACTTATGGGTTCCACTCACTACTCGCTCGAAAGCCCTGATCCGGAAACGTAATGTGTCAAGTTCGGCAGAAAGCTCGCAGCAACTTTCCGTTTACATATTAGGTGAATCCGTAAGCGGTACTTGTTGCGTGGATAATTTCACAGCCTACTAATATCGTTACTGCCTCCGGCTCGCTAGCAGTAGTCAACGACGCATCGACTCTGAGTGACGAGCGATGGTGCGTCGCGTTCTGTCGTGTTTTCCAAGCAAACGTAGCATCATGTGGGTCTTATCCATGCTCTCTCATAGCCATTTCGTTATCCATCGTTTCGTTATCCGTCTTTCGCACCCCCTCCTGTTGTATCCATCCGGTCACTTGTAGATGAACGCAAGTCAGTTGTGAAAGTCACTACATGCCCACAAACACAAACTGCATCTGTCGTCACTCATTCCTTCGCAATGACAACGTTGCCCCTGTAACACGTGACGCTGCATCCGCTTCCTATTTTATATTCACTTTGTTCGAGCTCCTCTCACCATTTCTCCCTCACCCCTTTCTCTCTTCTTCCCTCCCCTCCTCTCTCTACCCTCCTCTCTCTCTCTCTCTCCCCTTCTCTCTCCCTTCCCTCCTCTCGTCTCCCCTCGCCTCCACTCTCTTCTCCCCTCCCCTCCCCTCTCTTCTCCCCTCCCTCCTCTCTCTTCTCCCCTTCCTCTCTCTTCTCCCCTCCCTCCTCTGTCTTCTCCCCTCCCCTCCACTCTCTTCTCCCCTACCCTCTGTCTTCCTCCTCTCTCCTCTTCACGCCTTCCTCCCCATCCCTCTCCCCTTTCCTCATTTTCCGCCTACAGAATTCAACAACACGCTCGTCACAATTCTGCCCAAGTACAAGGTGACGCTTCTGGTGGGGCAGACCAAGGCGTTCGGCAAGCTAAGCAACTGGGCATCGATCAAAAAGAATGCGCACACGGGATTCCAGATCGCCGCGTTTAACATGCTCGGCGACCTCCACACGAAGAAAGCCATGCAGGGTTACCCTGTGGGCAAAACGGTAGGCTCCGTGATCAAATTTCTGTCTCGCTTGGAACTTTTATCTTTGGTGAGTTTTTTACTTCAGCTGATTACTGTAGAACTGTTACTGACGTGATAGAAAATTGCGGTGTTGCGGCGGTGTTACAGTTCAGTACGGGAGACTACAATTACCTCCAAACGAAGCTCAAGTCCGCTGGCAAAAAAATCATGCTTGGGACTTCAACCAGCAATGGGTCTATTGTTGATTGGACACTCTACATGGATGCGCAAGTGATCATCCACGGTGTAGACACCGTTATCATGCCGCCCAAGTTCAAGTAAAGTGTTTTAAGACTATTTTTACTGGTGTACTAGTATTACATCTTCCATAGGTTGAGGTTAATAAGTTGCTGCTCTATATGTTGGTGCCGCTACAAGTGCCATGCTTACTTGCCTATCGTGTAATAAAGGTTGTGGATATCTGTAGCATGAGTGGTGCTGGCTGTGGATATCTGTAGCATGAGTGGTGTTGGCTGTGGATATCTGTAGCATGAGTGCTGCTGGCTGTGGATATCTGCAGCATGAGTGGTGCCGGGTGTGGATATCTGTAGCATGAGTGGTGCTGGCTGTGGATATCTGTACCATGGGTGGTGCTGGCTGTGGATATCTGTAGCATGAGTGGTCTTGGTTGTGGATATCTGTAGCAAGAGTGGTGTTGGCTGTGGAAACCGCATCTGTAGCTCAAAGCAAAAGGCATACCTGAATACAACCACGGTAACATCGGCCAAGGTACGGTACCGGTACCGATACCGGTACCATTCCCAGAGGACCTTTCATCAGCTTCAGCTTTCCACGGAAGTTTGGTGCATCATGGTCACCTTCTACAAAAATTAAAACAGAAAGGGGATCATTACCCCCACGTGGGGCCTTGGGGGATCAGATCAGAATCAACAACATACGTACAGTAGCATGGGCTTTATCACACTGGTTAGGAACCAACACACAGGATAACTAATATTATTTATACAGCAAAACAAAACATGCATTAACAGTTTGGTGCCAGAGTGGACAGCCATTGCAGATGGAGCTATTCAGTAAATGTAGGGATCATAACGTTGTTGAGACCATGGATTGCCACGTGAGGGTCTTGATACACATTGTTCACCTTCACAAAGGCGCCCCCATGCATGCCCGGAAGCAGACGGAGCTATTCAGTGAATGTGGGAATCATAACGTTGTTGACGCCATGGATTGCCACGTGAGGGTCTTGATACACATTGTTCACCTTGACATAGGCGCCACCGTGCGTGCCCGGCTTCCCAAATTGAGCGAGCTTTGTCGGGAACCGCCGGACCTTGAAATCACCATGGCCAGTCACAATCTGCATCACATGGCGGATGAAAAAGCATGGATGTGGATGGGAGGGGAGAGAAGAGGAGGGGGGAGAGGAGGAGGGGGGGAGAGGAGGAGGGGGGGGGAGGGGAAGGGGGAGAGAAGTTGGGTAGAAGGGGAGCTAGAGGTGAGGGGTGTTAGACCAAGTTTATGTGCACTATATAAGCTCACCAGCATGTTGTAGGGGATTTTCACGAGCTCCTTGTACATGTAACGGCCCGCCAGCATGTGGGACTTTTGAGTTGACTCAACAATAACCTCATGATGCTCACCAGTGTGTTGTAGGGGATTTTCACAAGCTGCTTGTACATGTAACGGCCCGCCAGCATGTGGTACGCGAACACCTGCCACATCTTGGCGGGGTCCTTGCGGATCAGGTTTCGCGTGTACGCGCTGAGCTTGTTCCACCCGGTGTTCATCGGCAGGAGCAGCGTCGCGTGCGATGTAGGCAGCTTCTCTAGAAGAGTGTTGTTGAATCCTGAACACGTAGTAAACACCACAATAACGAGGATCAGTGACTGACGGAAATTTTAAAATGAACAATGAAGCAACATATGGAAGTAAATTGGCCAAACGAAAAACAGTGTTTGCCACGTGTGGTGCACAATGCATTCTCGAAGCGCCTCAGTTTTCGCCACGTGCGCACTCACCGCATTCCCTCATGTACGTAATCGTCGTCGTCATTTTCTTCCTCTTAAGAGCGGCCTCAATCTGTTTTAGCGCGTTCGCCGGATTGTACTGCGCGCGCGCTGCGACGAGAGCGCTGAGCAGCAACACCGCGAGGAGCACCACCGGACCGTTGAGCCTTCGCGTCTCCATTGCTGCCGGGTAATAACGTTTCCAAGGCGCCTCGGATGTTACGATAAGGAGTCTGAAGGGTTACCGTTCGAGTGCGACGTGTGAGCTACCCTAGTTATCAACTCTGCTGTGTTATCGTTAATTTGAATGGAAATTATAGTTTCGAAGGACGGGTGAAAACGGAGTCGGGGGCTCGCTAAACGCTCGGGGGTGTTCCTCAATTAACTACTCAGCGCGTGTCTGCAAGTCTAAGATTACGGAGGGTGATCCTGGTTCATCAGAAGTGATGCGAAAAGGTTTACACTTGCCTACACTGGTTTATCTCCTGCTTTGTCTACTTCCTTTCGATGAAGGCATGGGGTGGGGAACAACACGGGGATGAGCTTCTGCGGAGCGGAGCAGCACTGGGGGTGGTTTAGAGGAACACATCCTTCACCTGTATCCTTGCTTCACCCATGCATTCTGAGGGTGGTGGTGCATGTAGGGAGGGAATTGAAGCACACTTCGCGCCATGTCAGGCTGCCCCTTCCGAGCCGCGAAATGCTCTTGGCACTGGAAGGAAATTGTGCATCAGATCCACGTCAGCTAATGCAATTGCGGTTACGAATGAGTGTTCAGTTTCACGGGCCGCACAGCCCTTTGTGTCAGCAACGTCAGGTCCGTTGTGGAGGGCTGGTTGGTGGAGGTGTGGACAGAGTCAACCAGTAGTCCCATTGATGCTGTTTCATTGGCAGGCTCCGACCATTTTCATACTCTACTGCAGGGCTAGTAACGATGGAGCAATCGAAACGCACTCCTGATGCAACCACCTGAACCAGATGCCAGTGGCAGAAGAGCACCAAAAGTTCGTTACAAGCGTGACCGTCAACACCACACCTCCTGATTCCTTCCCTAACATATCGTACACTGAAGTGATATGTACCATATCGTCATTTTAATTTAACTGTTCTAAAACTGGTCTCACTACAACCTCTGCTATCCAAGTACAAATACATAGCACACAATCTATTAAGAAAACTTTTCCATTACTACGGTATGCAGTCCATGGAGGGCAAATACTCTAGCCTGAATCACCAACCTCTACAGCACAATACACCTAAACCCCCAATAGTCACCATCACTTGAAATCAGGGACAAGCACATTGTTGACCCCATGTACAATCACATGACCGTCTTGGAAAATTTCCCCTATTTCGACAAATGTTCCCCGATGTTGGCCCGGCTTGGCATACTGGGGGTCCTTAGTGGGCAGGCGGCGGATGAACTGTTTTTTCATCCCTGTTGGTAACTGCATAATGAGGAAAGGACGGGGGGAGGGAATAAGAATGAATAAGGTGCAAGCACGAAAGAGTGTACGGTAGCATACAGAACCGAGAAACGAGACAGTGCATGCAGGGAAGCTGCAGTACAGATCCTGTTGTGAAGGTAGTGTACGAAGTTTCAGACTAATTAGTATCTAGGACGAATACAGGAGGTGACAAGTGTTGCCATCGTGCTCCGAAACGAAACCCCGAGACCACACACCTATATGCCACGCGGATAACCATGCGAGCTGCACTGCACTACCCCTAACAGCCACGGCATGAAAAAAAAAAAAAAAAAACACATTAGGGATAACCATGGCATGCATAAACACGGACCTGTGTTCCAGGCGGATACCACGCGAGCTGCACTTTGGTGTACCGCTCCGCGATGAAATGATAGGCGAAGATTTGCCAGAGCCGCGTGTTGTTGCCTCGGATCTGCCCGCGCGCCCACGCGCTCATCTTGTTCCACCCGCTGTTGATTGGCACCAGAAACGTATACTTGCTGTTGGGCAGCTTCTCCGCAAGAGTGTTGTTGAAACCTGCCCGTCCGCACAAGGGAGAAAGGAACAAAAACAGGGAGTGGTGCCGGACCAGTGTAACAGGAACTGCAGCATTAAGGAACATGAAATCCAGGGTAGCCATTGAGAAGGAAGCCGCTGGAAACAGACTCGATCGTCACGACAACAAGAGGGTTTCCGGTGGATTATCTAAATATGAACGGCTGAGATTAAAGGCCGAGTTGTACATAACTTCGCTGAGAAAAGGTCTGTCAGGGAAGGACCTTGCGAGGTTACCGAACAGCCCTTGTCTCATCGACCTTTCGCAACTGGGACTTGAAGCCTGTCCCGCCCTGATGTGTCAGTCAGCAAAATGCTTACACCGGTATCTGCCAATTATAGCCGCCTGCTCTACCATATGGGACGCTTTTACTGCAGCCACCATCGTACATCTAGCTCGATATGAAGACAAACGAGTTACAACCAATATCAGCATCTCGTCAACCAGTGTCACATGCTTTTGCCACTCAGACACTTGGGTTGCTCAAAGTGGCACGTTACTAGAACGCTTGGACTACCTAGGGTGCACGAGCGGCACGTAAAGACTCGCTACGGGGTCGTCGTTTGAGGCGTCTCAAACAAAAGTCGTCTCTCTCTGAGGCACCTCAAGGAAGCTATCTAGGGCATACGGGAGTCGCTTGAAGACTTCTTACGGGGTCGTCTCAACGTGAACCATTTCCAAGGAGTACGACGCATGGTCTGCACGCTTACCGCTTTTTCTTAAGTACGTGATGGCCGTCGTCAGCCGCTTCTTCCTCAGCGCGTTCTCTATAGCGCGTACGGCGAACTTCCCCGAGTACTGCGCGTACGCACTCGAGGCGGATGCGGAAACGAGTACAGCGACGACGAGAAACGCGATCAGCGGCGAACGGGACGACGACGACGTCGCCATCGCGACGCTTGCAGCAATCCGGAAGCGCGCTCGGAAGGAGGATGGGAATGGATACTATCCCGGACGAAGGAACCTCTTGCAGGAGAGAGATAGACCTGAAAGCGACTCGGAAGTTTGCTTGAATTCAAACTATACTATCCTTCCAGGCGATGCGGTGCGTTGACCGAATAGCAGGTTCTTTGCAATGCTACCACTGGTCTGTCCCAAACACCATGGGTGCAGCGGAAGGGAACAAAATTGCGATGGATGGTTGTTCTGTTCGACGACTTCGGCTATCATGCTGTGGTTGAGCAAACAGGAGCACGTTGCGTACGAGATGCGACGAAGGTCGCGAGGACGACAAATCGACACGGATTTCGGGAGGAGAGGCACATGCAAATGAAATGCGTGCGTCTTGTGGGCGACGTCCGAACATCGCGCGCGCTTGTTGTTTGGGGCCGGGGGACAGATTTGGGTTCGGTTCGGTCGGGGGCCTCTGTCGCAAAAGGTTCGTGGCACCGACTTGCTTGAGCAAACCAGCCTCGTGCGACTAGTTCCATTGGTGGGAACCCTGCACGCACGATTCGAGAACGATAGTCGTGGGCTAATGGAATTTGGAGAAGACAAGGATGCGCTGGCAGAGAGGTCGTTGGTTGGTTGCACTTCTGTGTGCCTGGGCGAAAGGTGCGGGGGCGGGGGACCAGCCGGTCAGGTGTTTTCGGTCTGGTTAATCGGGCTGTGTTGAGAAACGCCTATCTTGCTCCACCTCGTCAGCCTATCTGCGATAAACACGTCTGTGAAGAAAGTCGCTCAGGTGGTCGCCCAGGTTTTGATCCCAGGAAGGTGAAGTTGGTGTTCTGGAGGCGCAGGGGTATCGTTGACGGAGTCAGACTTACAAAGAGGCCAACAAATCACAACCATTAGTGTAACGTCGCCCAGCCACCCTGGCATCACCGGTCAACAACGACCTTGCCCAGAAGAACACACATGTCCCCGCCAGAACGAAATGCACCGCAAGTACTGTAATGATACACCACGATTTCTCTTTTAAGGATCCCGTATTCGAGATTTGCATGTTTGTGTCCCATGTAGAAAACTCAGCTTGTTGCCCATTATTTTCCTCTTCCTGCACCTTTTGACACCCCTGACCAAAAACTTCTCTTGCACATTTTGCTCTGATAGTGCAATCCTAGCTCATTTGTTCAAATACACTGATAGCTTAGTGATACAATCATTGTGACCTAGATAAATGCTGATAATTAATAATAATAACCATACATATGTCTGTATCCCAGTTTTCCCAAGCCTTCCCATATTTTAGCGCCTCCAACGGCAGAGGCCCTAACATCCCCTCGTTTTGAAAACGATGTCACTGTCTCAAGCCTCTCAGGTCCCTTCATATCCAACCCAACTGCACCTGCACCCCTGTCACCAGAGCTCATACCTTCATCCCCACTGGAAAATGGATTCCGGCTCTTGTACCCTTCCCCCTTGCGTGTCTCTTGTTCCTCCACCCCCTGCCCTCCAACCACCCCACACACGTCTTCCTGTTGCTCTGTATCCAGCACTACTCCTATTGTCCTCCTCTTCCTGAAGGGACTCCCCTTCCTCCGCGCCCTCTCCTTCTTCCCCTCACCCTCCCCTTCTCCCCCGCCCTCCTCCCTCCTGCCCAATCCCATAGCCCTCTCCTCTTTCCTCGCTGCATCCTCCCTCCGAAGAATCTCCTCCCTTGCACCCTGATCGGTGCTCCCAGGAGAGCCCACTGCTCTCCCTCTAACAGCACCCCTCATGTCTTCTCCAACCGCCTCGTGCACAAGCTCGCCCTCTGCTGCCACACCCCCATGCCCACCACCACCACCACCATGCCCACCAGCGGTGCCCTGCACTGTCTCAGAAGCTTCCCTAGGCGACTTGCTCTTGCAGAGAATCGACTGAACCCTAACCCCTTCCGTTTCCCCACGCGCATCTCTCTCCCCCACCCTCCCTGCTGCCTCCGCCTCAGCCGGGCCAGCCCGCCTCCCGCCCCTCTTCTCCTTCTTCAGGCTCGGCGATCTCCGAGGCAGGCTCGGGCTCCTGGCCTCAAGGCTCGGGGTCCTAGCCTCAAGCCCCAGCAAGTCTCCTTCAACCACGTCACCACCTGGAGAGAGGGACTCAAAGACTGGCTGCCGCATCATCTGCTTCACCACCTCCGTTGACTGCATTGACTGGCTTGACCGGTTTGACCTGGTTGACTTGGGAGAGTGCTCGTCCTCCACTGGGGAGCCTCGGGCCTTCCTGCCCTTCCTCCGCTCGCCCTGCTGTGTGCTGCCAGGGCTGCACCCGCCCCCCTTTCCCTCCCCCCTCCTCGCCGTCCCATTTCCTCCCTTGGCCTGCAGATTGTGACCATCAGGCGATTGCTCCTCCCCACCCCTTTCCTCCTTCTCCACTCCCCTGCTACCTCGCGTTTTGTGGTTGGTGTCTCTGCTGCTCCTGCTGTTGTTGAGTCGCCTCCTAGGCTTCAACCCCCACTCGCTTTCCGTTGCTCCCACCCTGCTCTCTCTCTTCCCCTCTTTCCCCCCCTCGTTCTCCTTCCCTCTCTCCTCTTCTCTCTCAACCTTCCCATCCTGTTTCCCACTCCTCGAATCACCATCACCCCTGCTCCCCCTCCTGCCCCTGCTGCCACTCCTGCTTCTGCTGCTGCCACCCCCCTTGCTTCTGCGCCTCATCCCACTGCCTCTGGACGCTGCTGACGTCACGCTGCTCCCAGCTGACGTCATGGACGCCGTTCGTCTCGGTACAGGCGATCTCCCTCTAATATGACGTTCCATGTCTCCCTCCTTCCCTCCCTCATGCCACATTTCCTCTTCCTCCTCCTCCTCGTCGCTCCCTGGCCCTTGAAACACCTCCCACTCCCCACTCGTCCACGTCCCCTTCCTCCCCCTCTCCCTGCTCTTGCTGCTCCTCCTCCCTCCTCCCCCCCTGCTGCTGCTCCGTTCCCCTCTGCTGCTGCTCCTCTTCTGAAGCTTCCCACTAGCATCACCACAGACGGATTCTTCCACTGCCTCCCTCCTCCCTTCCCTTCCTGCTTCCAACCCTCTCTCCTCCAACGCACCTTCCCCTCGCCCTCCTTTCCCTCCTGCCCTCGCACTCCCCTCAACCAACACTAGCTTCTCCTCTGTCTCATAGCTAGTTGCACTGCCCCAGTTGCCGTTCCCACCACCAGCATTGCCAGACCCTGTGCCATTACCATTCCTCCCACCACCAACAGCACCACCAGCACCACCACCAGCAACCACTAGCTTCTCCTCTGTCTCATAGCTAGTTGCACTGCCCCAGTTGCCGTTCCCACCAGCATTAATGGAGCCTGTGCCCTTCCCATTCCTCCCTCCACCATTGCCATTCCCCACACCATAATCCTTCCTTCCATCGCCCCGACCAGCACCCCCGCTCGCCCTACTCATTCTCCCCACCTCTGCCTGTTCCTGCTGCCTTGCAACATGAGTGGCTGACCCAGCGACACGCGAAGGCGAGGGAGAGGGTGAGCGAGCAGACGCGATAGCAGCAGAGAGATGAGAAGCAGCAGAGCGCGGAGCAGCAGGAGAGTGCGGAGAGAAAGGAGAGCGGGGAGCAGCAGAAGGAGAGGGAGGGGCAGCAGGAGAAGGTAAGCGGCCAGTGGGAGAGGGGGATCTGCTCCGCTTGCCATCGGGCACAAGGAGCCACTTCAACGGAGAAGCGAGCATGCTTATAGGGGAGACGGTGCGCCTCAGCGAACGGTTGGAGGTGCGCACAGGGGAGACGGGGGAGGTGCTCCGAGTTGAGGGGTGTGTGGGGGAGGTGCGTGTAGGGGAGGTGCGTGTAGGGGAGGTGTTTCTAGTTGAGGCGCGTGTCGGGGAGGTGCGTTTAGGGGAGGTAGACCTGCTCTTGGGTAGCGTTGACTTGGTCAATGCAGAGTTGACCTGAGCGGACTTGCCAGCAGGCGAGCACAGCGCGGATTTCGGCGAGTGGAGCGTGGCTTTGGGCGGGTACAAATGGCTGAAGGGGGAGGTAGATCTGGGGGAGGTGGATCCAAGAGGGGAGGTAGGCACATGCAGAGGGGAGGTAGGCTCATCTAGAGGGGAGGGGATCTTGAGAGGGGAAGTGGAGCGGCGTCTGCTGCCTGGCAAAGCTTGCTCTATGGCTTTTGCTAGCACGCTGTCTCCTCCCGGTTCCCCCCACCTCTTCCTCTGCCTCCGCCCACTGCTGCGCTCGCCTACTTCCCGCTCTTCCTCTTTCTCCTGCTCCTGCTGCTGCTGTTTCTGCTGCTCCCGCTTCACCTGCTGCTGCTGCCATAACTGCTCCTCCTTCCTCGCCCTCTGCTCCTTCTCCCTCCCCTCCGCACCTTCATCCTCCATAACCACTTCCATACCCTCCTCGGAATCAGCACAAGAGCTTGACACCAGCGAAGCCGCGTAAACTCCCACCCCTGCATGAACACCAACCCCCGCTTCCCCTTCGCTTACCAGTTCCTTCTCTGTATCCACTACCACCTCCCTTTCCCCTTCTTCCTCCTCCTCTTCCTCCTCCTCGTCCTCCTCCTCTTCTTCCTCCTCATCCTCCTCTTCATCCTCACTCCAATCAGACCCGTAACTGTCATCCCCATGCCGTTCCACTACTTTCTCCCCTTCGTACCGACCTCCACCCCTCTCCTCTCTTACACAACCACGCACTGGAGCAGCAGCAGCAGCCGCTTTGGTCCCATCAGCAGCAACAGCGGCTGTCTTACCAGCAAAAGCTGCAGTAGCCACAGGGAAAGAAGCAGCAGCAGCGGCAGCAGGGGCTGCAGTAGCAGCAGCAGCAGCAGCAGCAGCAGCAGTGGCGACAGGGGAGGCGATAGCAACGGTATGGGGCATAAGGGCAGTCGAGGAGGGCGGAAGGGACTGGGAGGTGAAGGGAGATGAGAGGGACGTGAGAGAGCCCAGAGAGAGAGATATCTTACTGCCGTCTGATGGCATCGTCACCGCTGCTCCAGCTGCACCAGCTGTAGCAGCTGTAGCGTCTGTAGCAGCAGCTGTACCTGTTGCAGCAGTAAACCCTGTGGCGTTAGCGAGTGCAGCGGCAGCAGCAGGACTCAACCCATGGGGCCCTGCCCTGCCTGCAACATTCTGCTCATGCGCCCCCTGTCCCCCTGCTCTTATGTAGCCTTGAAACGTCTCCAAGCCGGCCTCATGCGCCCCCTGTCCCCCTGCTGTTATGTAGCCTTGAAACGTCTCAAAGCCGGCCTCATGCGCCCCCTGTCCCCCTGCTCTTATGTAGCCTTGAAACGTCTCAAAGCCGGCCTCATGCGCCCCCTGTCCCCCTGCTGTTATGTAGCCTTGAAACATCTCAAAGCCGGCCTCATGCGCCCCCTGCCTATTCACTGCTGCGTCTGCTGCGTACGCGTTGAGTTCACCTGAGAAACCTGGTAATTCACCTGAGAGGGCTGACGCCGCAGCAGTGGCCCCACCTGAGGAAAGAAAGCTGGTACAGCTTCTGTCGTCCTCTGTGGCACTCTTCTCCCCCCCACCCACCTTCCCACCCTCACCCCTCTCCTCCTCTTCTTCTTCTTCCTCCTCCTCCTCCTCCTCCTCCTCCTCCTCCTCCTCCTCCTCCTCCTCCTCCTCCTCCTCCTCATCACTACCGCTACCACTCTCACTGTAATCGCTCTCACTCTCCTCCTCGCTCTCTTCCCCCTCGCTCTCCTCCTCACTCTCCCCCTCCTCGCTCTCCGCCTCACTCTCTTCCCCCTCACCCTCCCCCTCCCACTCCCCTCGCCCTCCACCCCCCACAGCAGGCAGGGAGGAGCGGCTACCAGCACCAGCACCCGCCGCAAACCCGGGCGTGTCAACAGAGCTTCGGCAGGACGCCCCTCGCACCAGTGTAAGAGAGCTATCCGACTCCCCCACCCCCCTCCTCCTCGCCCCCACGCTCTCCCCTTCTGCTACTGCTCCCCCTGCCCCTCCCCTCACACCCTGGCTCACACCCAGAGAGAAACTATCAGAGGGCGGACAGGGGGCAGAGGGAGGGGTGGGGTCAGAAGGACCAGAGAGAGGAGTGGGGCCGGAGGGAGAGGGGGAGGACCCAAAGAGGAGGTCCGAGATCCGGGCGGCGGTGGGGGTCATCATTGTCGCTGCTGCCACTGCTGCCGCCCACAGCGCTGGCTTTTCTTCCGGTCCTGCTGGCAGTCCAGCTGGCGAAGAGAGATTGGCCAGTCCGGGAGTTGGGGTACTAGCGTGGGGAGTGGTGGGAGCAGCAGAGGTTGGCGCAGCAGGGGGGGGTGTGGAAGGGGGCATGGCTCGGAGAGGTGCGGCAGGGGGAGTTGTGGCAGGGAGCATGGCGTTAGCAGCAGTGCGGGGAGAATCGCCCTTCTCTGAGCTCTTCTTTTTCGCCCTCGCTTCAGCTTCATCTCGCTGGTGAACCTGCTGCGCCGCTGTTACTCGCTGTTGAACCTGCTGCGCCGCTGTTACTCGCTGCTGCTCGAGCTGCTGCTGCTCGTGTTTTGGTCGGTTCGCTGTCTGATAACACTCTGTTTCGGGAGAAGCTGCTCTTGCCTCTAACGGGTCCACCTGTAACGCGGATGCTGCAATGGGAGCGCCATGCTCTTGCCAGAGCAAGGCATCAGCAGGAGGAGGGGAGAGGAAGGGGTTTGTGGGATGCAGAAGCAGCTCGTCCTCACACGCCCCCATAAGAGAGTGCCCTTGCAGTGCCCCCTTCTCCGCGCTCACTCCTCCCTCCTCCCACACGCCCACCGCCCATGCCGGTTCGTCTATCGAGGGTGACTCTATCAGGTTCCCTGCCGTCCCATCCAGCCACGCTTCCACTGCCGACCCGTGGTCCACTGCTGCTGCTGTCTTTACTCCTGATGCCTCCGCTGTTGCTGCTGCTGCTTCCGCTCCTGCTGCTGCTGCTCCTGCTGCTGCTGCTCCTGCTGCTGCTGCTGCTGCTGCTGCCGCTGCACCCATGTCACCACCAGACGTAGCAGCAGCGGCAGCACGAGGAGTGGCAGAAGCAGCAGCACCGGCAACACCAGCAGCATCACCAGCATTAGGCACAGCAGTACAAGGGGCATTGGCAGCACTTACCCCCACAGCACTCTGACATGACTGTTCCTGTGACCCTTCCATCCCGGCCAGCGTCCACACTCCCTCTCCGTTTACTACTCGCCACACCAAAGCAGGCCCGCTCCTCCTCTCACCGCTCTTTACCGCACTGCCTCCCGAACCTGATCGTTCCAGTCCCACACCTCCCGCCACAGTCGTCCCAGCCTCCACACTCCTGCCTACACCCTGCTCTCCCTCCTCCGTCTGTCCCACCTGCTTACCCTGCTCCGCCTGTTCTCCAATCCCCTCTCCTCCGGTATACACCCTTCCATCCTTCCCAGCAGCAGCAGCAGCAGCAACACCACCACCACCTCTTCCATCAACCTTACAGCCAATCCCAGCCTGCAGATTCGCCACGTCATCAACCGACTCCCACGGCAGCGGCATCCCCTTTATAGGCGGCGGCCTCATCTTCTCCAGACTCGCTCGCCCGCTGTACACTGGCGGCCGCGCGACGGCTCCTGGCGTGGCAGGCCGAGCCGGCAGGACAGGGCATGCTGACGTGGCAGCGGGACGAGGAGAGGCAAGAGCTCCTGGCGCCACTGCCACATCAGCTTCCCCAGCAGCACCACGTCCCCCACCGCCCTCCCTGTGACTGTTCCCTTTCGAAGGGGAATCAGATGCCCAAAGGGGGGGCAGGACGGACAACCCATCACCACCACTCGCATTACCCCTCGCATCCCGAACGCCTGCGCTCCCCCTATCTTGCACACGCCCTCTCTCTTGCAACCCACTCGCTCCTTGCGGACTGTCTCGTTCGTGCAAACCGGTCAATCCGTTCCCAGGTTGCTTATTCTCCCTGTTCTCCCTATTCTCCTTCTGCCCCTGCGCGTGCTGCTCCCCTCCTCGTCCTGCCTTCCCTGCTTCCACGCCTGCTGCCGCTAGACCTACCGCCGACCCCTCACCTACCACTCCTGCTCCTCCTCCTCCTCCCCCTGCGGTTCCAACTCCCCTGAGCTCTGCGTTATCAGCCATCCCCGCTAAACGCATCCCCATCATCATCTCTAAGCTCGAGATGGCGTTCTCGGGGTTTCCAAACGTGTTTATGATGGTCCCGGGCACGGCTGCCGGGAGGTTGCCCACGTCCTGGAACGGTAAGCGTGAGGCGCTGGTAGCTGGTGTGAGAACGCACCCCTGCTGCTGCTGGCTCTTAGCTAAGTGCATCTCGTAACCGCACGCGCGAAGATAGAGCACCTGGAGACAAAGGAAAGGGGCGAAGTGGAGGGGGGAGGGAGAACAAGAGGTATAGAGGACGGGGGATGAGCAAGAGTGGGTGCTAGCAACTGGTGGGCCGGTGACACCTGACAAAGAAGGGGGTAGGTTAGCATAGTAAGGACCTTCTTTTACTTCAGCGAAGCCCATATATGGTAACCCCACTTTACCTCATCTCGCAGCTTCTTCGCCTCCTCCTCGTGCCTCGCCACCCGCCGCCTCAACTCCGCAACCTCCAGTCTCAACTCGTCCAGCTCCTCGCTGCTCTCCGCGATTCCCGCGCCAAACCCCATCCCGCCACGTGGCACTCGCACGCACGTGCTCTCGCAGGAGCCCACGGAAGATCCGGCGGCTCTCGCGGATTCGCTGCTGCATGACGTGTCCTCCTCATCCTCAACCTCTTTCTTGAATCGCGCGACTTGCCCCTTCTCCCCTTCTCTCCCACCAGACCTACCCGTTCCGCCATTGGTATGATGACTAAGCGGCTTCACGGGACGCGACGCGACAGGAGCAGCAGGCCCAACTACGGCTGCAGCGGCGATGGCGGTCGCGGCGGCCACGTCAGCATCCGGCGTGACGGCTTTAGGGTGGTGAAGATGCGGCGGGTGATTTAGCTGGTGACTATGTCGTATATGCTTAGCTTCAGTAGCACCAAGAGGAGGGAGAATCCCTTCCGCTGCGGCTTTGGCTGTAGCGGCTGCTGCGGCGGCTTCTGTGTTTGGGTTTGGCTGCGAGAATGACTTATCCGGCCACGTGGGCCCGTTGGCTGAGGAAAACGGCTGACGTGGATTCGGGGATTCGTTGGTTGGGAAGACACGGGTCCCACCGGTCGAGAGAAGAACATTTTTCTTGCCCTGGGAGGAAGGAGAATTATCCTGCATGGACGAGAAGCGAGAGAGAAAGAAGACAGCAACAGTTGATTTTCCAGTCGGCTTTAGGAGGAAAATCGACGGGCAGCATGGACGGGACGTGTGTGTGAGAGGATTGAGAAAAATCGACAATAACTTGGATCCACTACGCAAGAAGATTTTGGATCTAAGAGAATGAAGGAAAAAACACATCATACTAATGCGAGTTATGAGATTGCTCATCTGCGAGGATTGACTGCAGGAGGAAAAAGAGAATTATCAATCAATGCCTCACCCGCTTGGCGGTCGTGAGACGGTCGCCGTCGTAGTCTCTGTCTTCAAGGGTCGCCGCGGCCATTCGCAGGCCTTCGTGCGACTTGAGCGATTTCTGGCGACCGTCTGCGAAAGAGCTGGAGGCCTCTACGGGGAGCAAGCGAGCATCTTGCCTCCGTGTTTCCCGCCTTTCGCCTTCTTGCTGTGCCACATGGTGCCACCGAAGCAAGCGAGCATCTTGCCTCCGTGTTTCCCGCCTTTCGCCTTCTTGCTGTGCCACATGGTTCTGTATTAATCGATTAACTAAAGTACGTTCGATATTATAAAATACAGATGTTCGATCGGATTTAATATCTGACCATCCGATAGACCTACGCGAACAATAGAGTAGCTTGGACGCCTAGCTCCCCTTAGGACTGCTTGACTAATGCGTGCTTGACAATAGTACCGCCTGCTCCGTCGGGTTACTAACAGAAAACGTCAGCATGTCAAATGCCATCCGAGCAAACAAAGGCGACTAAAATGTGTGTTCCGTCCTGCTAGACTCTATGGCCAAGTCTAAGAGGAGGTACTCAGTAAACTCGTGGGAATCCCTGTGCACTGAATGAGCGAACAGTTCGCGCTGGTGGCTCGGTATGGCGCATACCACAAATGACGGAAAGACAATCCCAAGGTACATGGCGAATCCTACAGGCGGTGCGGTGCGCGGGGAACGAAGTCACTCCCAAGCAGAGTGAACTGGGGGACCTAAGGAACCGAGCCGGAGCTCCGACAGCCTCCGTCGAGCCAAATCGTACGGACAGCACGGGGTGCGACGGCGTCGGCGCCCCTACAAAGCTGACGTCCAGTCCCGTGGCTTCAGTCTCCTCTCCAGAAACTGCAGTTATATTTGCTCCGTTTGCGAAACTGACGGACGCGACGACGGGACGGGAACTGCCTAGGGACGATATGGTAAGGGTTCCGTTCCGTCCAAACCTTGGGCAGCTCAGCTGCAAATGGAGGGAGCTTTGGTAAAAAGATTCTTCAATTCGTGGTTTGGATGGAGGGAAAATGGCCGTGGCGCGGCACATCAGAGCTGCAGGGGCGCGCGACGGAGTCGGTTCAAAAGTACGCGCCTTTTTTCGCACACCCCCTGGGAGCTGCCACCCAGGCCAGGCCACCGAGATTGTCAGAGCACTCTAAATTTGAATTGCAACTGTAGCAAGAAAGCACACGAGCTTTGACTGATAAGGTATCTGTGAAATTCAACACAAATTCAATGCAAAAGCGCACATAAGTGTTAATAACAATAGGACGTCATATAAGAAAGGATCACAAATTTCGTCCACCACTTTCAGAAAATTTGGTCGGGTGGGATGGGATGGTGTGCTCTGCAAAGCGGTTTTGTACTCCTCACCACTCAAACGCAATTCACCCTTCTGTAAACATCGATACAGGAACTGGAAACTTTGAAAGGACACGCCGTTCTGATGATGGCAGATGAATGGGATGGATGGGATGCTCAATCCATTCCCTCGTTGCTCTCCCATTTCCTTTCAGCCGCCTTTTTGCAGCCGTCACACGTCACGTCATAGTTCCGGCACTCCTCGAGGTCGCGGTCGAATCAATGCACTCGCCACTAACTAGCCGTCCTACCCCTTTGAAACCTGTGGACCCTGTGTTGAAACCAATCTCCCGAAACGTCTCTCTCCTGTCCAAATGTCAACGGCTCTCCTTTACGACTGTTTGGGAGCGTCGTTTGACGACGTCAGCCGTACGTCGTCCGTTTCGCGACGTCGATTTCACGACGTCAATTCCTGTCGCGTCAAGATGCTGCCACACCGTCACCCGCACAGCCGGCACTATGGATCATCACGAGTCGCGCTGACGTGCCGCCTCCGTAGACCTCATCTGATCCTTCCCATGCCCAGCGTCAGCTGCAGATCCCGCAAGACAAATTATATAACAGTCGCGAAATTTCCTGCAACTCTCGTCTATCATTAATTCGTTCCGTTTGAAGACCTTCTGCTATCTTACCGTCCACAACTACTTCCTTATTACCAATCGTTTCCAAACGCAAGTCAATGGCTTCCCGCGCGCTCGCGAGCAACGAGGAGCTGTGGCAGCGGGCGAGCAAGACGGGCACGGGACTGAGTGTTACCACGCTGCGTTTTTCGCGAACCATTTCGCTGGACCAGGTGTGCTGGACGCTGTTGCCTCCTCTTTGTGTTTTTCACCCACCGGCACGTTTCGTTTCACCCCAAATTCGAGTTACAAAAGCTCTGCAGAACATGCTGCGAAACCATGCCTTACGGGCCCTACGTTCACTTCCCCCACCCAGGTTGCAGCGGCAGCTGCACTGGCCGCGTCCCAACACTCCATCCTGGCCGCCAGGGTCATACAGGCGCACAACCCCAAGCCGCACTGGGAGATCCGCGTGGCTGCTGGCTCCCAGCAACGCTACCCCCGCCTTGTGTCTCACGGTCTCACCTGTCTCACGTCCATTTACTCCTTTTCCCCTTCAAAAAAATCAGGTCAAAACGGCAGCAGCATTGGCTGCGTCCCGCCACCCCATCCTGGCGGCCAGGATCGTGAGGGTGCAAAAGCCCAAGCCGCACTGGGAGCTCCGCGTGTCTGGGGACGCTCCCCCTGCTGTCCCCGTGGCTGCGCGCTCGTGGCACGACGTGCTGGGCGTTGATGGGGCGAGCACGCTGGGCGCTAGTGAGTCGGAGGAGGCGCTGAGGCTGGTGACTCAATTGGAGATGAACACGCCCATGTCCGCCGTGGTGGGGGAGAAGGATGAGGAGCCGACTGATGTGTTCCAGGTGAGTGGCTTTCGAGGCAGCCTATGGCTTTGGTGTTCCCCTTAAGGTAGGGTAGTGACTGGAAGGAGGCGGTGGTGAATCTCGCCCTTGTGGTCTCAATGGTCCTTATGAGCGATTCTTGAGAGCTCTCAAGATCTAGTTGTGAGGCGCCTCAAAAGAAGGGCTCTCAAAGGTAGTGATTCACTGCACAGGAGGGAAGCTCATTGCCTCTCGGAGTTTCCTCTTTTATGTGCTCGTCAGCACCCTCTCCTCCCCTCCCCTTCCCCTCCCTCGCCTGCCACAGGTCCACGTGTACCCCTCAGAGCTCGCCACGTGTATCGTGCTGAGAGGCCACTGTGCAGCCTTTGATCGTTCCTCCGCTCTCTCTGTCACCCGCGCCTTCCTCTCCGCCCTCGCGGCTGTGCTTTCCGGCTCTGCCCCCTCTTCCCCTACCTGGTACGCCCCTTCTCTTCTGCACCACCTGGTAGTACACGCCCCTCACTCGCCAACCTTGCTTGCATACCTCTCCTTCTCTCTGCTCCCTCTGCTTCTCTCTGCTACCTCTGCTTCTCTCTGCTACCTCTGCTTCTCTCTGCTACCTCTGCTTCTCTCTGCTACCTCTGCTTCTCTCTGCTACCTCTGCTTCTCTCTGCTACCTCTGCTTCTCTCTGCTACCTCTGCTTCTCTCTGCTACTTCTGCTTCTATCTGCTACCTCTGCTTCTCTCTGCTACCTCTGCTTCTCTCTGCTACCTCTGCTTCTCTCTGCTACCTCTGCTTCTCTCTGCTACCTCTGCTTCTCTCTGCTACCTCTGCTTCTCTCTGCTACCTCTGCTTCTCTCTGCTACCTCTGCTTCTATCTGCTACCTCTGCTTCTCTCTGCTACCTCTGCTTCTCTCTGCTACCTCTGCTTCTCTCTGCTACCTCTGCTTCTCTCTGCTACCTCTGCTTCTCTCTGCTACCTCTGCTTCTCTCTGCTACCTCTGCTTCTCTCTGCTACCTCTGCTTCTCTCTGCTACCTCTGCTTCTCTCTGCTACCTCTGCTTCTCTCTGCTTCTCTCTGCTTCCTCTGCTTCTCTCTGCTACCTCTGCTTCTCTCTGCTACCTCTGCTTCTCTCTGCTACCTCTGCTTCTCTCTGCTACTTCTGCTTCTATCTGCTACCTCTGCTTCTCTCTGCTACCTCTGCTTCTCTCTGCTACCTCTGCTTCTATCTGCTACCTCTGCTTCTCTCTGCTACCTCTGCTTCTCTCTGCTACCTCTGCTTCTCTCTGCTACCTCTGCTTCTCTCTGCTACCTCTGCTTCTCTCTGCTACCTCTGCTTCTCTCTGCTACCTCTGCTTCTCTCTGCTACCTCTGCTTCTCTCTGCTACCTCTGCTTCTCTCTGCTACCTCTGCTTCTCTCTGCTACCTCTGCTTCTCTCTGCTACCTCTGCTTCTCTCTGCTACCTCTGCTTCTCTCTGCTTCTCTCTGCTTCTCTCTGCTTCTCTCTGCTTCTCTCTGCTTCCTCTGCTTCTCTCTGCTACCTCTGCTTCTCTCTGCTACCTCTGCTTCTCTCTGCTACCTCTGCTTCTCTCTGCTACCTCTGCTTCTCTCTGCTACCTCTGCTTCTCTCTGCTACCTCTGCTTCTCTCTGCTACCTCTGCTTCTCTCTGCTTCTCTCTGCTTCTCTCTGCTTCCTCTGCTTCTCTCTGCTACCTCTGCTTCTCTCTGCTACCTCTGCTTCTCTCTGCTACCTCTGCTTCTCTCTGCTACTTCTGCTTCTCTCTGCTACCTCTGCTTCTCTCTGCTACCTCTGCTTCTCTCTGCTACCTCTGCTTCTCTCTGCTACCTCTGCTTCTCTCTGCTACCTCTGCTTCTCTCTGCTTCTCTCTGCTTCTCTCTGCTTCTCTCTGCTTCTCTCTGCTTCCTTTGCTTCTCTCTGCTTCCTCTGCTTCTCTCTGCTACCTCTGCTTCTCTCTGCTACCTCTGCTTCTCTCTGCTACCTCTGCTTCTCTCTGCTACCTCTGCTTCTCTCTGCTACCTCTGCTTCTCTCTGCTACCTCTGCTTCTCTCTGCTACCTCTGCTTCTCTCTGCTACCTCTGCTTCTCTCTGCTACTTCTGCTTCTATCTGCTACCTCTGCTTCTCTCTGCTACCTCTGCTTCTCTCTGCTACCTCTGCTTCTATCTTCTACCTCTGCTTCTCTCTGCTACCTCTGCTTCTCTCTGCTACCTCTGCTTCTCTCTGCTACCTCTGCTTCTCTCTGCTACCTCTGCTTCTCTCTGCTACCTCTGCTTCTCTCTGCTACCTCTGCTTCTCTCTGC